AAAAAAAATTCTGAAAAACTAATCAGTTAATAACAAACAGTTGACAATTTACTTCATCTCGGACATCTAGTTATACAGGCTATGTACATTTAAACCCAATTCTGCGAGGGTGAGGTTTACATATGCAGAATGGTTATCATCTCTGTGAGGATTGAATTCCTCTGCAATGGCTAACACATGCCTTGACTGAGGGAGATATGAACGAGTATCTACAAAAGATACTTGTGGGTTTCTCATTACTTGTCGAGTATGCAAGGAGTAACGACATTCATGTTGATTATCTGACTGAGTATCTGAGGTAGAGAGTACAGAGTCAAGAGGATTTTCAGCATCTGTCACATTAGTCTGGGTAGCAATATCATCAACATCGCATACTAATTTCATATGATCTAAATGCGATTCTCTGTACTTGCCAGTACTAATTTCTCTAACCTTATACTTATTACCGGAGATATTTCTACAACTCGATAAGGGCCGACAAACTTTTATCGAGCTTAGGCATTTGGATGTTTTGTTGAAATTTGTCAGCATTACCTTGAACCTACTTTTACTTTGATGGCTTAGCACGGCTATTAGTTACTCTAGTAAATTCTGCTGTTGATTTGTGAAGGGGTTTAAAGGGATTCTTCTAAAAACACTTTGAGCCATGCTGGTACGAGTTGCTACGAAATCATCAGGGTTGTAATTAGGTTTCGGAGTGGAATATAACAACTAATAGGGTAAATGCTTGTCTACACCATACAATGCATAATGTGGAGTATCACCTATGGAAGCATTGTAAGCAGAATTTATGCACATTGAACATCTGGGATCTTCATCCAAGTTTCACTATTGGGGTTGATAGTGGCTCTCAGGACATCAAGTACTTTCTTATTGGTTCGTTCGGCTAACCCATTGCTGGCAGGATGGTGAGGAACAATGGTGGATTTAAGATCTTGTACAAAGTACAAATTTTCAAGAATCTCATTACAGAAATTTACCTCCATTATCTGTTACTAAGGACTTAGGGTGGTATGCCTGCAGATAATGCGTTCTTTAAAAAGCTTTAGCTACTGTCTCAGCAGTCTTATCTGCAGTAGGAACTAACTCACAATATCTGGTGAAATGGTCTACCCTAACACACAGATGTTTGTTTGCCTTGGAGGGAACATTTAAAATTGGGTTTAAAAAATCAAGGGCAACTCTTTCCCACGGTTCGCTAGTGGTTGGGTACACTTGGATAGGATTAGGACCATTGACATTTCCTTTATGTTGCATACAAACACTAAAATTTCTTAACATACTCGGAAATGTCAGTTGCCCTACGTGGCCAAAAGTATTTCATTCTGGCTTGTTTCACAGAACGATCCATACCAGGGTGTGCAACACCTTTGGGGCATCTGAATAGCTGTAGAGCTACTTCAGTAGTGACTGTGGAATTACTAACTGGTAAACTCTTCTGCTTGGAGTACCCAACTCGGCTGTTCGATACAGTAATTCTTGGCTCATTACAAAGTCACTAATGGGTTTCTGGGGGCTTCACAGTAAAAATAAGATCTTCCTGGAGCAGGAATCGAATCACACCAGACCATATGGGATCTGTTCTTTGGGCATTTTTGACATCCTCAACAGTAAATGGAGGATCTGCAGTAACTACACTAACGTGTCGCAATAAAGCATCTGCGACTACATTTGACTTGCCAGGTAAATGTTCAAAAGTGGGATTGAACTCTTGGATAGTCAAGGTTCATCTGGCTAACCTTCCAGTAGGCTGTTTGTTCTGGAATAAGGGTATCAGTGGTGCATGGTCTGTCAAGACATGAACAGGGTACTGGTAAATAATGTCTCGGAAGTGCTTTAAAGACCACACTATTGCTAAAGCTTCTTGCTCTGTTACTGTATAATTACGTTCAGCCTTCGTAAGGACTCGGCTAGCAAATGCAACTGCATTGTACTTGCCATCAGTCTTCTGAGCTAGTACGGCACCTATGCCAATTGAACTAGCATCAGTTGTCAGAAGGGCTTAGAAAAATCTGGAAATTTCAAAATTGGAGCAGATGTTAGCTTTTCTTTTAGAGTTTGGAATGCTCTTTCTTGATGGAAGGTCCAAACGAAAGGAGCATCTTTCTTAAGCAATTCAGTTAACGGAGCTGCTATTGAAGAAAAATTTGCAATGAAAGATCTGTAGAAACCTGCTAGACCCACAAAGGACCTTACAGCATCAGCAGTTTTGGGAGTTTGAAAATTTAGTACTGCCTTTACTTTACTTTGATCAGTCGTAACTCCTCTAGGAGTGACTATGTGACCCAGAAACTTAATTTCTGATCTGAAAAATTGACATTTAGACAGTTTGATCTTTAAATTGGCTTCTTCAAGCTTACCAAGTACTATATCAAGTCTTTTAGGTGTGTGTCCACATCTTCGGACATGACGATTACGTCGTCTAAGTACCCCATAAGTGCTTTACCTATAAGACCTCTAAAGATATTGGCCATAAGTCTAGAGAACGTGATAGGAGAAGATCGTAATCCAAAAGCCATTCGTAGGAAGTGATAATGACCTGTGGGAGTAGAGAATGCAGTTAACTCTTGGCTGTCCTCGTGAAGAGGGACTTGCCAAAACCTTTGTAACAAGGAACCTCGGTTTTCATGATTAATCCGTTCCAGAGAGTCTGACGAAAACTGAAATTGATGAAAACCGAAACAATATTTCCCATAAGAAATGATGTAAATCCAATTAATCCGTTCCAGACACCCAAAAGTATTACAAAAAATACATTTTTTAGAGAAAAAGTGTAGATAAATGAACATTTAACATCACATTTACCTTTATTGAAGACTCTTGTTGGTGTATGGAAGATGGGGAGGAGGAGAGAGGGAGGAGAAGTTATTGTTTGGAAAGGGAATCCCCTTCCATAAGGGCTCTAGGTACCAAGTCCTTATCCAGGGTTACATTCCTTCTTTGTTTTTTACTGGCACTAGGACCAGCTTCAGAGTCACTGGATCCCTGTTGCACAAAAAATCTGTCCAGAGAGGTCTGTTTCTGGCATCTCTTTAATATTTGCCTAAAATGGGACAAGGCATTGTCATTGAACATGTTGCAGACATCGTCCTGCAACAGCTTTGTTAGGGTGATGTTTCTCCACAAATGTTTGCACCTCACTCAACTTTGCACAAATGTCCTTAACCCTTTGACTGTCGCAGGCCCCTTTCTGAAACTGTCATTCTATGTCGATAAATTTTTGGAAAAAAAATTATTTTTTCTTATGAAATGATAGAGAATCTTTTCCCTATGGTAATGACACCCAAAGTATTGAATTTGGTCAAAAACTCATGGAATTATGCTCCCGCGAAGTTAGCGGTCTCGGCGACATATACGTATCGGCGATTTCGCTGACTTTGAGCCCTGTTTAAAGCCAATTCTGTTGTTCCAGTTGACCAAACTCATAGCTATTTCTTTAGAACTCCATTTTATCTATCAGTTGAGTACAAGAAACCGCCCATTTACCGATTTGAACTACCCAATAAAGTGGTCAGAAATTGGCAATTTGGCCATTTTCACACAAATTAAAAAAGATGCCAATTTCAAAATAGGGTCCAGAATAAACTATGTAGACATTCTTGGCACTAAAATAACATACCCTCTGTTCATTAGTCACGTCTCTAGGCCTCATATATTACTCTTGCTTTCTATTTTGATTTTTTATTCATACACAAAAATACAAAATTTACTGGTATGCAGACTACTGCATTATTGTAAAAATGGTATAAATAATATGAGATAATGTATGTATGTATGTCATTTTCTGCCTATTTTTTTCCTTCTGGCAATTAAAAGTCTATCGGGTAGTTGTAACTACCATGGCTTGTTTCCCAAGGTTTGTCGGAGCTGTACCTTCTGGTCCCTTTCAAATGATATGCCTGGCAGTATGTGTTGTAACATTGTCTTTCATGAACTTATGAATAACACATATAAGGGTGGAAAAGTTTACATGCTGAAGACTAACACACTCCTTCAGTCATGAGGTCATGGCATTTTTTTGGATGGTCAAAATTGCATGTCCCCCATTATTTTTCCAGATATTCCATGCCTACAGATTCCCAAGGCATAGAATTTGCACAGATTTGATTTCTGTTAGGATTTTGGGGGGCTGGGTTCCCTGCTGGTGTAGTTTTTTCTGACTTCGTACTATCTGCGGCACCTGTACCAGCATTGATACCACCACCACTTATTACTGGTAATGTATCACCACCATCCCCCTAATGATCATCACCCCCTCTTTTTTTTTTTTTTTTTACACCATCAGCAGAAGTACTATTTTGTAATTCTGGATCTTGTATGTCCAGGTCTGTATCTGTTGCTTCAATACCAGGACCACTATCCCCATCTGGTGCACTGTCCTGCATTCCTAGATCCTCTAGGTATACCACAAGGAAAATAATAGGCTGGATAACTAGAGCTTCCAAGACGTGATATGCTGAGCCAGTAATAATGCTCTTCAACTTATTCTTATTCTCCAGGCTGGAATACTGCTGTATAATAACAACTCTCTTCAAGGCAGGCAGGACTGCTGAGCTAGAAAATATTCAGAGATCTCTGTATGTTATAGTATCAGACAGGCTTTTCCTGTCATTGGGGAAGTATTCAGTGATTGAAGACAGCATTGTTTACAGTTGATTTTGTACTGATATGCCCTTTTGTATTATGTTGGTACTGTACTGTAATAATTTACCATAAATAAACAATTTGACAGGTCTAAGCTAAATTTAGCATTCCAGTTTCTGTCTTTTGTCTTCAGTCATTGTTAAAAATATAATTATGAAATAAACAGTATGTATTCTCAAATATTCGATTTTTTAACACATGCCATCTGCTGCTATGATAGGGTCACCCTCGCCCCCCCCTCCAAACAAAAAAAAAAGAATGAAAAAACATGACTATATGTAAATCTTCCTGTGGCTTCTGTTGGTATGTTGTATTAATTTATAAACAGAGTGAAAAACTATCACCTACTTTTTCAGGTTTGTAGAAGATTTAATGAAATAAACCAACTTCTCCTGAACAAAGGTTTTAGAAAAGTGGAGAGATACCAAGCAAAGTGCCTTAAAGAGGTTAGTGACTTTTTATCAGTATAGTATTTATTCACTTATTAAAATAAGTTTAAATACAAATAGCTTCACAAATCATAACTCCTAGTCTGTATTTATATTTAAGTAGACATTTATTGGATAATCCTACATCCTGTGCAGGAGGAGCATTTAGCTACAAGTAGCCCCCCCCCCCCCAAAAAAAAGGTGTTACGTTTGAAGAGCCACTGGCAGTTTGTCGTACCGAAATCAGCCTCCTTATGTCCAGAGAGGAAATATTGTTCAAATTGAGGTGATGAAGGGAAAGGGGACACATACTTCCTTTAGGAATAGAAATGGGAGCAAGTATTTCAAATTAAGTTGAGTAGACTCTCCTGCCCAATTGATGGCAGAGTGAGATGCCTACACCTAAGGTAGTAACTGGCTCAACCCCACAGCTGTAGATTTTGTGAGTCGTTGTAGATTATTTTCAGTGGATAAAATAGCTGATGAACGGTACCCCACTGAGAAGAGAATTATGAAGACGTGTTCCAGGGAGAGAATGTGGAAAACTTTGCCAGTGATGCACATACAGAGCACATTTGCACACCACGAATGCTACACACAAATTCCAAAAGTGGAGGTGAGAAAACTTCTAAAGATGCCTGTATCATCAATTTTACATAAAGACATTAAACTTTTACATACAGACATTAAATTTTACATAGACCTTATGGGAAATCATACCTGAAGGGGTATTAACAATATTTCAGTATGTATACTGTATAATTATAGATAATACTTGATTGACTTCTTAATTGTGGAATGAAAAAAATCAATATTGGAAAGAAATATTAACAAGAAGTATAAAATATTGTGGCTATCACAGTTTATACATGCATATAGTATTAATGCAAAGTTGGGGACATTAATGGTGTAAAATGCCAGTCCAAAACTGAGAAGAAATGAAAGCTGTTGCATTAGCAGTAGTTTGTTTATAGTTGAAGATCCATAATTAGTGTTGTCACATAATACAGTAGGTAGTGCATATGACCTATTAACCTTAACCAATTCAAACAGGTAATTAGGTAATTGTTAACCCTTAAACTTTCCAAATGTAGATCTACGTTTGCATGCGTAATGCTCCAAACGTAGATCAACGTTTTATTTTTCATTCCTTCAGATTTTGCATAATAGGCTTGAGCCACCTAGACATGACAGAATGAGTCTGTGCACTCAGTGTGCACAGTATTAAAAAATCTGGGAGCACATAGTACCTTGTGGAAGCACCAGTTCAGTTGAGTGCCAGTTAGAGCAAATAGTATGGCAAACACCAGGGATTCACTGATACCATGTCGCATTAACACTCCCATTTTAAAAGGAAAGTAAAAATAGGTTAGATAAATACATGAGTGAGTGTGGGTGGGTGTGAGTTGGACTTGACTAGCTTGTGCTACTTGGTCTGATGTCATGCTCCTTCCTTCAATGGATGTGACCTGACTAGGTGGGTCATTGGTCTAAGCTGGGGGGGATGAAGGTGACATGGACCTGCCTTGCATGGGCCAGTAGGCTTGCTGCAGTGTTCCTTCTTCCTTATGTTCTTATGTATTCGGCAGGCTGGCTGGCTTGCTTTGGCTGTCTATGGTGTCTCTCTGTCTATATCTCTATCTATATCTCTGTCTATCTATATATCTGTCTCACATGCACACATAAGTACAGTTATTATACATAGTGTAAATTACCTAGGATAACCCAAAAATTCCAGGCAAAGATAGACAGACAGATAGACAGTCAGACAGATAGACAGACAAACATGTTTGTGAGTATCAGTGAAAACGCATAAAGCCAGAGTTCCCCGAGCGCCCATTTGTCAAATGTCACTGGGCTGACAACGGATGTCATAACACCATTCTTCAAGGAGTTTGATATACTATACTCCAGGCAGACAGAAAGACAGATAAGCAGAGACAGACAGACAGATAGATAGACAGGCAGATAGACAGATAAATAGATAGACATAAATAAACAGAGAGACAAGACATGTTTGTGTGTAACAGTGATAAATACAGAGTGGGTTAGCTGGAGCAATGGGCATTTATCAAATGTCATTGGGTTGTCAACAGAATAGGGATGCCTTTCATAACAACATGCTTCAAGGTATACACCAGGGTATCTAAAACATTGCTGGGACCTATAAATACTTTGTATACATTTCTAGACAAAAGTAAATAACCCAAGCAGGTGTAAATGTTCACCTGTCAATGTGATTGTGACTATTTGAGCACTATTTCAGTACCTAATACATGTATTAGTGTCAGAACAAAGATTGGCTATGAAATTACAAGAACTATTGTAAATTGTAATTATCAGAACATAAAAAAATATATAAATTAAAATAAAAACAAGGAAAAAAGGTATATCGGCAACACTTCTGCAAGCGGCAGGAGTCGATGTTGCTGTCAAGTGAGCATCCAGAGCCAACTTCACGGTCTTATATCTTGGTAAGTACTGACCCTAATTTTTTAAAATTCTATAACATGTAGAAAAATGTGCTCTTTGTTTTAAAAGAAAGAAATTATTTTTTTATTTTTCAAAATATTCGGAGCACCACGCGAGTGAACTTAGATCTACGTTTGGACAGTTTAAGAGTTAATACAGTACAGTACTGTACAATATTTATGGTTCCTAATTACAGACCACTATGGGAAAATCCTTAATAACAACATCATCAAAATGTTCATTTCTAAATACAGTACTGTACAGAATTGTTGGTTATTTCAACTGTTACAACTAAACAGTTTAATATTTCAACTAAGCTGTTACAGATTAGAAGTTGGATATACAGTACTGTACAGGCATTGATAACTGTGTTACATATACAGTGGTACCTCGGGATTCAAACAGCTCAAAACTCGAACAGTTATGTAAGTGTATTTATGTAAATGCTTTTGTAAGTGTATTTTTGGGGGTCTGAAATGGATTAATCTAATTTACACTATTCTTCATGGGAACAAATTTACTTGGTATCGGCACTCGTACAGCCTTCTGGAACAAATTAAGTTTGTATCCCGAGGTACCACTGTATAATTAACATACATAATTGTAGTACAGTACAGTGGACCCCCGCATAACGATTACCTCCGAATGTGACCAATTATGTAAGTGTATTTATGTAAGTGCGTTTGTACGTGTATGTTTGGGGGTCTGAAATGGACTAATCTACTTCACAATATTTCTTATGGGAACAAATTTGGTCGGTACTGGCACCTGAACATACTTCTGGAGTGAAAAAATATCATTAACCGGGGGTCCACTGTATCCTGTAAATATGGTCGAAGGTGATTAGATTTTTGTTTTGTGTTTTACTACATTTCATTTCAGTATGTATAGTGGTAGTGCTAAGACTTTGGAATATATTTATGTACTGTATGTCATAACTTGATTTCAGGTAAAGAGTCAACTACCTCGTCGAGAGTCTGAACGTCGGAATCATACTCTCTTTCGCCACTGTGATATTCTGACAGCTATTGAGACACGGTTGTCGCTGCTCAACATGACCTTCATTAAATATGTAGACTGCCACATGTGTTGCTTTATTCCTGGAAAGGTCTGTAAAAGTTGAAGAAGGTATCGGGCTGTAAATTTTTCTTATTGGTGTCTTGAAAATCCTCTTACCCAAAAGGAATTGTTTGACATACCCATTAGTAACCAGAAATAGTAATAAGTTTGTCATGGTTAAAAACAATTTGCTAGATTTATTATTTATCCAAAGACAACTCCTTTATATGTAATAAAGATTCTATATGAAATATATAGTGAATTTGTTGCTGCTTGAAGTTTACATTATATAGTAATTTTTTACTTTTATCTTTTATTTTTCTGTAGCACAAAGCTACAGACGATTCATGATACAGAAATGTTGTCATGAAGAAGACTCACTACCATTCAAAAACTAGAAAACAAAATAAATAAAATTTGATCAGTATTGTATAGTAGTATTGTAGTTTAAAAGGCCATGTCCCTAATTTACACAGGTATAACCACTTACTAGATTGAACAGTAAGAGAAGAAGTGTAGAACAAACCAAGAGATGCCATAAGCAGAATTAGCTAGCAATGTGTCAACATCCATAGTTCATGACTATTCAGAAAGTGACAGATCAGTTGGTTTTTGATGGCTGTGTTGTAGGCTGTGTTGTAGGTCTGTTTGCTGATGTCAAGAAGATGGAAGTTTGAATATGGGCCACGCTGCAAGAATAAGCAAACCTTGAAACCAGTCATAGATATGTTTTACACTGGCAGAATTCCATTTTTTATATCATAACCATTAATGATGACAGGTAAATTTTTATTTTTTTATTTCATGAACATGTAAGATAGGTAAGATAAAAAAAAATATTGATTTTGTGAACATGCAAGATGACAAGTAAAATTTTTTTTAGTGCAGTCCAAGTGAGAAAATCATGTTGTGTAATATCAGGCAGGTAACTCCTTTTTCTGCATTCATTGATTAAAAAAAAGGAGGAGGAATTTTTTAAGTCAGGTAGCTTTTATGTGTGCAGATGTAGTACAGGAATAGCATGAATGATGGTGAATGTGTTTTTTTCTTGCCATGGTGAAACAGTCCATTGAGGTGAAAAAAATGTAGTACAGGGTTATGAGACAGAAAGCTTGATGTCCTAGCACTGAATTAAACAACTTAATGGGGATGGGCAAGCTTAAACTGGAAAAGAGTAAATGAGATTAAGTCAGGTGTATCTGAAAGATTGAGAGTGCAAGGGAGGAGTAGTGATAACTTTAAATGAATACAATTTAAATTTTTTTTTTTTTTTTTTAATCACACTGGTCGATTCCCACCAAGGCAGGGTGGCCCGAAAAAGAAAAACTTTCACCATCATTCACTTCATCACTGTCTTGCCAGAAGGGTGCTTTACACTACAGTTTTTAAACTGCAACATTAACACCCCTCCTTCAGAGTGCAGGCACTGTACTTCCCATCTCCAGGACTCAAGTCCGGCCTGCCGGTTTCCCTGAACCCCTTCATAAATGTTACTTTGCTCACACTCCAACAGCACGTCAAGTATTAAAAACCATTTGTCTCCATTCACTCCTATCAAACACGTCACGCATGCCTGCTGGAAATCCAAGCCCCTCGCACACAAAACCTCCTTTACCCCCTCCCTCCAACCTTTCCTAGGCCGACCCCTACCCCGCCTTCCTTCCACTACAGACTGATACACTCTTGAAGTCACTGTTTCGCTCCATTCTCTCTACATGTCCGAACCACCTCAACAACCTTTCCTCAGCCCTCTGGACAACAGTTTTGGTAATCCCGCACCTCCTCCTAACTTCCAAACTACGAATTCTCTGCATTATATTCACACCACACATTGCCCTCAGACATGACATCTCCACTGCCTCCAGCCTTCTCCTCGCTGCAACATTCATCACCCATGCTTCACACCCATATAAGAGCGTTGGTAAAACTATACTCTCATACATTCCCCTCTTTGCCTCCAAGGACAAAGTTCTTTGTCTCCACAGACTCCTAAGTGCACCACTCACCCTTTTCCCCTCATCAATTCTATGATTCACCTCATCTTTCATAGACCCATCCGCTGACACGTCCACTCCCAAGTATCTGAATACATTCACCTCCTCCATACTCTCTCCCTCCAATCTGATATCCAATCTTTCATCACCTAATCTTTTTGTTATCCTCATAACCTTACTCTTTCCTGTATTCACTTTTAATTTTCTTCTTTTGCACACCCTACCAAATTCATCCACCAATTTTTAAAATATATAGAGAATTATTAATCACAGTAGACTTCCACAATTTGTCCTGGTTATGCTCCTGAAAATCAGCATTGCTTGTGATATCGTGAATAATGGAGTGAAGAGCATATGAGGAAAATAGTTGTACCTTCTTGACACCTTTAAAAAGCCAGAACAAGTTTTTTAAATTTTGCAATTCATCAGAAATGTTAGTTTTTCGTACTTTATATTGTAGTTGCCATTACCTACAGAGCCACATTGACCCTTTCCACACATAAGAAGAACATAAAGAGGAATGATGGAACTAGGAAGGGAAGGGGATGTGTAAATCCACTGTTTATATTAGATAATGGTTGAGAGTTATTTCTAGCATTTAAGGCCTTTAGAAAAGCCGCTATAGGTGGGTAGGAGCAATGTGGCACATGATGCAGATTCCATTAGCCTGGAAAACATTTATCACAAAGTGAGGAAGAGACAAACAGGGGGAATGGTACAGAGAGGACAGGTGGGTAGTAAAATGGGGCGTACCAAACCAGGCCGTCAAGGCCAAATAAGCAAACAAACTCGAAGCCAGTACCGGAGAAATCAGGGGCGTGTACACCAGGGGACATACCAGGTAGTACACTACCAGTGGTACTAATGAAACACAAAGCGAGACAAAAAATCCCAATGGCAATTCCTGCTTCATATTTGCAAATATACAGGGTTTGAAATCAAATATAAATGACAAAGTTAGTTATATCATTGGGCTCCAAACAGAAGCGAATGCCATGTTTAGAGCATTTACAGAAACACATACAAAGGATGTTTTGGACAGAGAGATAAAGATAGAAAACTACAACATGTATAGATGTGATAGAATCAATAGGTCACAGGGAGGACTAGGAATCTATGTAAAGGATACTTTCTGTTGCACAGAAGTGCTGAATTCTACAAATGATATAGTCGAAATTCTAGGTATTAAAGTTGAAAATAGGAATTTGGTAATTATCCTAGTATACAAACCACCATCGGCAACTGCTGAGGAATTCACGGATCAGTTAAGTAAGACAGATAGCTATCTGGATAGGCTACAAAATCCTACACCAAATATTTTACTCCTTGGAGATTTTAATCTCTCTCATGTAAAATGGAAGATGGTGCAATGTAATGTTATACCAGAAATATCTCCAGGAAGCACCCTGGCTCAATAGGCATATACCAGGGAACTAATGAGACTTTGTGAAAAGTACTCTTTAAACCAACAGATAATTGATCCCACCAGAAATGAAAATACCCTGGATTTGATATTCACAAACAACGAGGAACTGATCAGACACATAACAGTTTCCAAAACTATTTACTCTGATCATAACATCATAGAGGTTCAGGAAACTGGATCGCTAAAGTTAGAGATGGGATGTTCAGTAAGTTTAATTTTAGCAACCATAGAATTGACTGGGAAAAAATAAACCAAGAGCTATCAGACATACCCTGGAAATCAGACATGAGCACCCTAAATCCCCACCAGTGCCTAGAGAAGCTGAATACAGAAGCATACAAAGTATGTATGAAACATGTACCATTGAGGAAACCCAGAAGATCAGATATAGAGAGAGAGTGTAGGAGATGGTACAGAAGAAAACAGGTTACTGAATTGCTTAAAAACACAAATATGCTACAACAGAGGAAAGATAGACTTAGCAGAGAGATCACTGAACTAGAGCAAAAACTTAGGATGTCATATCTCACAGAAGAAGTACAAAGGGAACAAAGGGCCATACAGGATATCGCAAGAAACCCAAAATATTTCTATTCCTACGCAGAATCCAAGCTAAGAACTACTTGTAGAATTGGACCACTACTGAGAGGAGACTCGTATACTGATGACGAACAGGAAATGAGTGAAATTCGAAAAGAACAGTGTGAGTCGGTGTTCAGCAACCCACTAAATGACAGCAAGGTAGAAAATGCAGAAATATTTTTCACTCCAGAAGAAGGCTGCGCAGACCAACTAACTGACACTAGTACAAATCCCATAGATTTCGAAAAAGAAATGGAAAACGTGCCCACTCACTCAGCACCTGGACCAGATTCATGGAATGCTCTATTTATAAAGAAGTGCAAAGTACCACTAGCACGAGCCCTCAGTATTCTTTGGAGAAAGAGCTTAGATCTTGGTGAAATACTGGAGGCTTTAAAGAGTGCAAACATAGATCCTTTGCATAAGGGAGGTAGTAGAGCACTAGCTAATAATTACAGACCAGTAGCCCTAACCTCTCATCATAAAAATCTTTGAAAGAGTGATGAGATGGCAGGTTACAAATTTCATAGACCAGCACAACCAACATAACCTGAACCAGCATGGTTTTAGAGCAGGATGATCATGCCTGTCACAGCTGCTGAACCATTATGACAGAATTACAGAGGTACTGGAAGACGACCAAAACGCAGATGTGATTTACACAGATTTTGCAAAGGCGTTTGACAAATGCGATCATGGAGTGATAACGCACAAAATGAAGGCCATGGGCATTATGGGGAAGGTAGGCAGATGGATTTTTGGTTTCCTAACACAGAACACAAAAAGTAGTAGTGAACAGGGCAAGATCCAGCATCAGTGAGCTCAAAAGCTCAGTGCCCCAAGGCACTGTCCTGGCACCTCTGCTGTTCCTCATCCTCATAGCAGACATAGACAAAAACACCCGGCACACTTTTGTATCATCATTTGCAGATGACACTAAAATAAGCATGAAAGTCAGTATGGTAGAGGACACTGAAAGAGTACAGGAAGACATAAACAGGGTTTTCCAGTGGGCAGTGGAGAACATGACGTTCAGTGGTGATAAGTTCCAGCTGCTTAGGTATGGAAAGAATGAAGAACTCAAAAGGAGCACTATATACAAAACTCAAGAGGGTCACCAAATAGAATGTAAGGAACATGTAAAAGACCTAGGAATAATTATGTCAGCGGACCTTTCTTTTAAAGACCATAACAAGACAAAGATCACAAAAGCCAGGAAGATGACAGGGTGGGTATTGAGAACTTTCAAAACAAGGGAAATAATATCGATGGTGACACTTCAAATCACTAGTGCTCCCTCACTTAGAATATTGCTCAGTGCTGACGGCCCCGTTCAAGACAGGAGAAATATCGGAGCTGGAACAAATACAGAGATCGTTTACGGCTCACATTGAGCCAGTAAAGCACCTAAACTACTGGGAACGCCTGCAAGTCTTGAACATGTACTCATTGGAGCGGAGGAGAGAGCGGTACATGATAATATATTCCTGGAAGGTACTTGAGGGCTTGGTCCCAAATCTGCACACTGCCATAGCATACTGGAGTGAGAGATATGGGAGGAAGTGTAAAATAAACCCAGTGAGGAGCAGGGATGTGGTGGGGACAATAAGGGAACACTGTATCAACATCCGGGGTTCCAGACTTTTCAACACCTTACCAGAAGATATCAGAAACACTGCTGGAACAAGTGTAGAAGCCTTCAAGAGGAAACTGGACAAGTATCTTCACCAGGTGCCAGATCAACCAGGCTGTGATGGATATGTGGGGAAGTGGGCCTCCAGCAGCAACAGCCTGGTTGACCAGGCAAGCACCAGATGAGCCTGGCCCATGGCCAGGCTCAGAGAGTAGATAAACTCTCAAAACTCTTCAAAAGGTATATCAAAGGTATATCTATACATGATCCTTCATGGATATAACCTGAATACTATATAGAATTTTACAGGAATTTTTACCTAATAATAAAAATTTAGCTGATAGTAATATAAAAAATAACCATTTACTTCAAATTTTTTCCTGTAGGTCATTGATGAAATATACCGGGTTTTGAGGTTTGTCCAGTCTAATAAGACGTTACCACGGGCGCACGAAATTCTCACAGAACTGAGAGACATCTCCAGTATGGCGATGGAGCATTTTGAGGAGAAGATCATCCGCACCCTCAAACCTACATCACTAACACCTACCTCTCCACGCTTCTCTCTCTCTACTTCTTACTCAGCGCTCTCACCTGTGACTCGTAAGTTTGGAGTGCTTTCTTGTTTTATTTATGAAAAATTTGAACCTGACAGGACTAAATTTATGTATTGAAATTAATGCTCTTTACATATTAATCACAGAAGACTTCCACAATTTGTCCTGGTTATGCTCCTGAAAATCAGCAATGCTTGTGATATCCTGAATAATGGAGTGAAGAGCATATGAGGATAAAAAGCCAAAACAAGTTTTTTAAATTTTGCAATTCATCAGAAGTGTTAGTTTTTCGTACTTTATATTGTAGTTGCCATTACCTACAGAGCCACATCAACCCTTTCCACACATGAGAAGAACATAAGAGCAAAAGAAAAAAGAGTGTTGTAACAGGCCTACTGGTCCATGCTAAGGCAGGTCCTTCTCACACCCGACCCATATATACTATTTGTCTAACCTATTTTTAAAGCTAATAGCTTGGATAGCTTTAAAATAGATAAGGACTGAAAAGGGCTGTCCAGTTTAAACCAGTAGACATTCTGCAGTGCTCCTCTGTTATGTTCGTATGTATGGGGAGGGTTGATGTGGCTCTGTACAATACCTATGTATAAATGTATGGCAGGCAGTATGAGTTACTACCACCAGTACCTGCCACCAGGGCCTTCAAGAGAAATTTTGCAAGGCAGAACAAGACAGCTTTGAGGCCCTTGGGGGCAGGCTGAGGCCCCCCAGTATAAGTGAATTTTACATTATTATTTTTCTAAATAAACTAAAAATAGTTGAAATTATCAAAAAATAAATCAATGAAAAAAATCAAAATAAAATATCTGTGGCTTAGGGGGGGGGGGCCCTTCAGAGGTTCATAACCAGGCCCTGGACCAGTTGACCCCCTCCTCTCTCATAGGCCTGCCTTCTACCACACCATCAGCTACCATCAACATGGTAAAACATTTCCTTACCAAATTGTGCCAGTGGTTGCTCTTGCTTGTTGATATACATGTGTTTGTGTGGAGGGTCGGTGTGGCCCTGTACAGTACCTGTACAGACATATGACAGTGAGTATTGGCTACTACCACTGTCATCACCCCACCCTTCATCACCATTATCAGCTACTGTGAATATTGGTAAAAATTAAGCTACATTTCCTTACCAAATTGTACCATATGTATAGGAACTAACCATGCCTGTACTAAACAAGCATATACCAAAGATAAATGCATTGCAGAAAGTAATAACCAAGAAAAATGCAGGGTCAATATGGAGAACAACAGCTTTTCGGCTGAATTTCACGATAATTTATAGTTTATAGGGTGGCCTGGTGGCTAAAGCTCCCGCTTCACACACGGAGGGCCCGGGTTCGATTCCCGGCATGTGGAAACATTTCGACACGTTTCCTTACACCTGTTGTCCTGTTCACCTAGCAGCAAATAGGTACCTGGGTGTTAGTTGACTGGTGTGGGTCGCATCCTGGGGGATAAGATTGAGGACCCCAATGGAAATAAGTTAGACAGTCCTTGATGACGCACTGACGTTCTTGGGTTATCCTGGGTGGCTAACCCTCCGGGGTTAAAAATCTGAACGAAATCCTATCCTATTCCTATCCTAAACCATTTACTACAGGACTTGGTTGATGACATATACTGCATATAGTGAATTACTGGTAAAACAGTGTTCACATATGAAAATGAATTCGGATAGAGCAGTACAGCATAAAGTGAAGGGAAATCTGTAGTGTATAGTACTATAGTTCTGTATAATATAACCTCATGTATGGTACTGGTGAGTAACAACAAGCAGAGCCAAAAATTCATTCCAGTTAGGTTTAGAATTGATACAAGATAAAAATGAGAAAATAATGTAAAGTTTTGCTTTCACTTAATGATTTTTTAAGCTATTTCTTGCAGCTGAAGACCATGGATTCATTTACATATACAGTACATGTATGTCCCTAAGAACATTGTTTAGGCCAAGTCTGTTATAGTTCTGTTTTGCTGTTTACTCTAAACATGAATGATATATTATGTAATTATGGGAATTGAAGCCATCCATAACAGTATTGTTTTTGTTTTGGTGATTATCTTCTCAAAATTATATTGTGATTAGTGTGTGCATGTTGTGTTAGTTTTATACTGAGATGTTTAGGGATTAGGCAAAAGTTTTCATTATTGTGATTCAGATCTGTTGCTTCAATTGTAATCAAATTTTGCATAACCAAATAATACTGGCATCCCTAAAAAAAAAAAAGTTCATATACTCAGTGACAGTCTTACATCTTGAATTATTATACATGTATAGTCATTAGAATGACTCCTTCAGTCACATAACTAAAGTACAGGTCGGCCATCACTAATCCGGCATCATTGGGACCTGTAGTGTGCCGGATTAGTGAGTTTGCCGGATTACAGAGTGGTTAGATTAGAATACACTTAATTAACTTATCAACAGAGACTCTTTCTGCTACATCATCCTCATTTTCATCACTGCTTTCTCCTCCACTAGCTTGCTACTGTCGATATACAACCATCTGCACAATTTTTGAGTCAATATAATGATGAAATTTGTGTCAGTATAATGATGAAATTTGAAATTATGCTAGCTGAAATTAGTGCTGGATTACTGATGGAACCAGGTAAGTGATTTCCGGATTAGTGATGGCTGACCTGTAATTGTATTCCACATGTCAGATAGGCTCATCAAGCAGTATTATGACACAATTGAAATCTCTGTTATAAATCTTAATCATCTTTTTATGGTGTTAGGATGTAACGAAAGAAAGTTTGTCACAAGTAGTGAGGATTATATGGCTGATATTAGGGACATATTGATAGTAATGATACATTAACAATAATTCACACAACATTAATTTAGTTTTTTATTTATATTTCTTACTGATGTTTTACTTTTTGTTACAATGCACTATTGACTCACATAGATACTGATATATTGTATATACATGTAATATTCTGGTAATAAGTGTTATGTATTGTCAGGGGTAAAATTTTTATAATTTTTTTGATTACTTTCATTTGTCTTTTTCTTTTGTCTCATTCTGATTTAGTAAATAATTATAACTTTCCATTAATTTTTTGGTTTATATGATTATTGCTTCAAATAATTTTCCTGTGGTACATATATACATTTATATTGAAAGTTTTGCCCACATTTAATGTACTGGAATATCTAACCACATATGATTTATTATTTTTAACAGAACAGAAACACCAGAATACTTTCAGGCATTTAAACATCTTTGCAGGCACTAAGTAGCACCTGTGTGTGTGTGTGTGTGTGTGTGTGTGTGTGTGTGTGTGTGTGTGTGTGTGTGTGTGTGTGTGTGTGTGTGTGTGTGTGTGTGTGTGTGTGTGTGTGTGTACGTGCGTGTGTGTGTGTGCGTGTGCACGTGCATGCATGTGTGTGCGCACACAAAAATCACTGGTATTATGCTCCAATTCTTTTTCACTAATGTTTTACATATTTGTAGTCCCACATTTCATAGTGAATTCTCTCAGGCCTTGGACAGGGATGTGTGATGTCACCATGGTTGTTGAACATATTTATAGATTGGGTTGTGAAGCAAGTGCTTCCTAGGGTGTTGGGGAGAGGTGTGGGATTAAAAGATAAAGAATCTAATACAAAACGGGAGTTACCATGGTTGTTTTATTGCCAGTGCCACAGTGCTTTTGGGAGATTCTGAAGAGAAGTTGCAAAGGTTGGTAGACAAATTTGAGAGAGTATGTAAGAAAAGGAAATTAAATGTGAACAAAGGAAAGAGCAATGTGATGAGAGTATCAGAAAATTTAGGTAAAGAAGGATTGGATATCAGATTGAAGGAAGGTAGTATGGAGGATATAAATGTTTTTAGATATTTGGAAATGTACTTGTTGGCAAACAGGTCTGTGAAAGATGAGGTGAACCATAGAATGAGCAAGGGGGGAAAAAGGTGAGTGGTGCATTGAGGCATCTGTGAAGACAAAGGACATTATCAATGGAGGTAAAAAGGGAATTGTATCAGAGTATAGTGGTGGCAACACACTCATATGGGTGTGAAGCATGGGTTTTAAGCATTGCAGTGAGGCTAAGGCTGGAGGCAGTTGAAATATCGCATCTGAGACCAATGTGTGGTGTGAATATTGTACAGAGAATTCATAGATGGAGATTAGAAGGTGCAAGTTTACTAAAATTATTATTTAGAGGGTTCAGGAGGGGTTGTTGAGGTGGTTTGGACATTTAGAAAGGATGTGCCAAATTAGGATGACTTGGAGGGTATATAAATCTATAGTGTAGAGAAGGAGGGGAGGGGTTGCCCTAGGAAAGGTTGGAGGGAGAGGGTAAAGGAGGTTTTATATGATAGGGGTTTGGACATCCAACTGACATGTGTGAGAGTGTTAGAAAGGAGTAATTGGAGATAAATAGTTTTTATGATTTGATGTGCTGTTGGAGTATGAGAAATGTAATATGTATGAAGGGATTCAAGGAAACCAATTTCCTGGACTTGAGTTTTGGAAGCAGGAAGTACAGTGCCTGCACTCTGCAGGAGGGGTGGGGATATTTTCAATTTGGAGGGGTATCTGAGTTGTTATAATGGCATGCCTCTAGCAAGACGGTGATGGCGTGATTGAAGGTGAAAGTGTGTCTTCATTTTTGGGTCACCCTGCCTTGGTGGGAGATGGCTGGTGTGTTAAAAAAAAAACTATTGTTTCAAATTATTTTAGAGCTGTATTTAACTAACACTAATGTTACCTACTTGACAGCTCCAGCCACTGCAAGACCGATTGGCTCCTCTTTTAATAAATCCCTCACACCACTATCATCATCAGCTGCAGAGGAACTTACACATCTGGTTGCTTCTAATAAATACTACAGAAGTTGTGTTAACATACTGAAGAAGGAAGTTTCAGACCAAAAATCTAAGGTATTAATATGTAATATAAATATGGTCTACCAACCTACTAATATCAACTGCTCAGGGAGGTCTACCGTACTGCCAAGTGAGTGTAAAACGAAAGCCTGTACTTGTTTTACATGATTGTAGGATTGCTGGTGTCTTTTTTTTTTTGTCTCATAAACATGCAAGATCCTAGGTAGTAGGTTGGTAGACAGCAACCGCCCAGGAAGGTACTACCGTCCTGCCAAGTGAGTGTAAAACGAAAGCCTGTAATTGTTTTACATGATGGTAGGATTGCTGGTGTCCATTTTTCTCTCTCACAAACACGCAAGGTTTCAGGTACGTCATGCTACTTCTACTTACACTTAGATCACACTACACATACATGTACAAGCATATATATACACACCCCGCTGGGTTTTCTTCTATTTTCTTACTAGTTCTTCTTCTTGTTTATTTCCTCTTACCTCCATGGGGAAGTGGAACAGAATTCTTCCTCCGTAAGCCATGCGTGTTGTAAGAGGCGACTAAAATGCCAGGAGCAAGGGACTAGTAACCCCTTCTCCTGTATATATTACAAAATGTAAAAGGAGAAACTTTTGTTTTTCCTTTTGGGCCACCCCGCCTCGGTGGGATACGGCCGGTGTGTTAAAAAAAAAAAAAAAATTTGCAAGATTTCAGGTATGTCATGCTACTTCTACTTACACTTAGGTCACACTACACATACATGTACAAGCATATATATATATATATGCACCCCTCTGGGTTTTCTATTTTCTTTCTAGTTCTTGTTCTTGTTTATTTTTCTTTTATCTCCATGAGGAAGTGGAATAGAATTCTTCCTCCGTAAGCCATGCGTGTTGTCAGAGGCGACTAAAATGCCAGGAGCAAGGGGTTTAATTTTCTAAATTTAAAAAGAGAAACTTTTGTTTTTCTTTTTGGGCGACCCTGCCTCGGTGGGATACAGCTGGTTTGTTGAAAAAAAGAAAGAAGAAGGTAGGATTGCTGGTGTCTTTTTTCTGTCTCATAAACATGTTAACACTTGTTAGGGATACAGGTTTATAATCCAAGGTCTCTTCCCTGTCATCTTTCTTAAATACTGATATGTTTGTTATCTTTCGGTCATCTGGCACTTGTCAGTCTGTAGTGACTTGTTAAAAGATCAGTGTGAGTGACTTGCATATTATTTCAACTCCTTCCCTTAATATCCTTGATTTTTTCATCTGGTCTTGCTGCCTTTGTTATATTATATCAGAAGTCCCCCTCACTTCTTCTTTAGTTGTACTGTATCAGTATTTCATAGAGACAGTAGGTAGGTAGTAGGTTGGTAGACAGCAACCACCCAGGGAAGTACTACCGTCCTGCCAGATGACTGTGAAACAGAAACCTGTAACTGTTTTGCATGATGGTAGGATTGCTGGTTTCTTTTTCTGTCTCATAAACACTCCAGATAACAGGGATATCTTGCTACTCCTACTTACACTTTGGTCACACTTCACAGACACGCACATGCATATATATATACATACATCTAGGCTTTTCTCCTTTTTCTAAATAGCTCTTGTTCTTCTTTATTTCTTCTATTGTCCATGGGGAAGTGGAAAAGAATCTTTCCTCTGTAAGTCATGCGTGTTGTATGAGGCGACTAAAATGCCGGGAGCAATGGGCTAGTAACCCCTTCTCCTGTAGACATTTACTAAAAAAGAGAAGAAGAAAAACTTTATAAAACTGGGATGCTTGAATGTGCGTGGATGTAGTGTGGATGACAAGAAACAGATGATTGCTGATGTTATGAATGAAAAGTTGGATGTCCTGGCCCTAAGCGAAACAAAGCTGAAGGGGGTAGGGGAGTTTCGGTGGGGGGGAAATAAATGGAATTAAATCTGGAGTATCTGAGAGAGTTAGAGCAAAGGAAGGGGTAGCAGTAATGTTGAAGGATCAGTTATGGAAGGAGAAAAGAGGATATGAATGTGTAAATTCAAGAATTATGTGGATTAAAGTAAAGGTTGGATGCGAAAAGTGGGTCATAATAAGCGTGTATGCACCTGGAGAAGAGAGGAATGTAGAGGAGAGAGAGAGATTTTGGGAGATGTTAAGTGAATGTATAGGAGTCTTTGAACCAAGTGAGAGAGTAATAGTGGTAGGGGACCTGAATGCTAAAGTAGGAGAAACTTTAGAGAGGGTGTGGTAGGTATGTTTGGGGTGCCAGGTTGTAAATGATAATGGGAGCCTTTGATTGAACTTTGTATAGAAAGGGGTTTAGTTATAGGTAATACACATTTTAAGAAAAAGAGGATAAATAAGTATACAAGATATGATGTAGGGCAAAATGACAGTAGTTTGTTGGATTATGTATTGGTAGATAAAGACTGTTGAGTAGACTTCAGGATGTACATGTTTATAGAGGGGCCACAGATATATCAGATCACTTTCTAGTTGTAGCTACACTGAGAGTAAAGGTAGATGGGATGCAAGGAGAATAGAAGCATCAGGGAAGAGAGAGGTGAAGGTTTATAAACTAAAAGAGGAGGCAGTTAGGGTAAGATATAAACAGCTATTGGAGGATAGATGGGCTAAATGAGAGCATAGGCAATGGGGTCGAAGAGGTATGGGGTAGGTTTAAAAATGTAATGTTAGAGTGTTCAGCAGAGTTTGTGGTTACAGGAAAGTGGGTGCGGGAGGGAAGAGGAGCGATTGGTGGGATGATGATGTAAAAAGAGTAGTAAGGGAGAAAAGTTAGCATATGAGAAGTTTTTACAAAGTAGAAGTGATGCAAGGAGGGAAGAGTATATGGAGAAAAAGAGAGAGGTTAAGAGAGTGGTGAAGCAATGTAAAAAGAGAGCAAATGAGAGAGTGGGTGAGATGTTATCAACAAATTTTGTTGAAAATAAGAAAAAGTTTTGGAGTGAGATTAACAAGTTAAGGAAGCCTAGAGAACAAATGGATTTGTCAGTTAAAAATAGGAGAGGAGAGCTATTAAATGGAGAGTTAGAGGTATTGGGAAGATGGAGGGAATATTTTGAGGAATTGTTAAATGTTGATGAAGATAGGGAAGCTGTGATTTCGTGTATAGGGCAAGGAGGAATAACATCTTGTAGGAGTGAGGAAGAGCCAGTTGTGAGTGTGGGGGAAGTTCGTGAGGCAGTAGGTAAAATGAAAGGGGGTAAGGCAGCCGGGATTGATGGGATAAAGATAGAAATGTTAAAACCAGGTGGGGATATTGTTTTGGAGTGGTTGGTGCAGTTATTTAATAAATGTATGGAAGAGGGTAAGGTACCTAGGGATTGGCAGAGAACATGCATAGTTCCTTTGTATGAAGGCAAAGGGGACAAAAGAGAGTGCAAAAATTATAGGGAGATAAGTCTGTTGAGTATACCTGGTAAAGTGTATGGTAGAGTTATTTTTGAAAGAATTAAGAGTAAGACGGAGAATAGGATAGCAGATGAACAAGGAGGCTTTAGGAAAGGTAGGGGTGTGTGGACCAGGTGTTTACAGTGAAACATATAAGTGAACAGTATTTAGATAAGGCTAAAGAGGTCTTTGTGGCATTTATGGATTTGGAAAAGGCGTATGACAGGGTGGATAGGGGGGCAATGTGGCAGATGTTGCAGGTGTATGGTATAGGAGGTAGGTTACTGAAAGCAGTGAAGAGTTTTTACGAGGATAGTGAGGCTCAAGTTAGAGTATGTAGGAAAGAGAAATTATTTCCCAGTAAAAGTAGGCCTTAGACAAGGATGTGTGATGCTACCGTGGTTGTTTAATATATTTATAGATGGGGTTGTAAGAGAAGTAAATGCGAGGGTCTTGGCAAGAGGCGTGGAGTTAAAAGATCAAGAATCACACATAAAGTGGGAGTTGTCACAGTTGCTCTTTGCTGATGACACTGTGCTCTTGGGAGATTCTGAAGAGAAGTTGCAGAGATTGGTGGATGAATTTGGTAGGGTATGCAAAAGAAGAAAATTAAAAGTGAATACAGGAAAGAGTAAGGTTATAGGTAGTAGGTTGGTAGACAGCAACCACCCAGGGAAGTACTACCGTCCTGCCAGATGACTGTGAAACAAAAACCTGTAACTGTTTGCATGATGGTAGGATTGCTGGTTTCTTTTTCTGTCTCATAAACACGCTAAGATAACAGGGATATCTTGCTACTCCTACTTACACTTTGGTCACACTTCACAGACACGCACATGCATATATATATATACATACATCTAGGTTTTTCTCCTTTTTCTAAATAGCTCTTGTTCTTTTTTATTTCTTCTATTGTCCATGGGGAAGTGGAAAAGAATCTTTCCTCCGTAAGCCATGCGTGTCGTATGAGGCGACTAAAATGCCGGGAGCAATGGGCTAGTAACCCCTTCTCCTGTATACAATTACTAAAAAAGAGAAGAAGAAAAACTTTATAAAACTGGGTTGCTTAAATGTGCGTGGATGTAGTGCGGATGACAAGAAACAGATGATTGCTGATGTTATGAATGAAAAGAAGTTGGATGTCCTGGCCCTAAGCGAAACAAAGCTGAAGGGGGTAGGAGAGTTTCAGTGGGGGGAAATAAATGGGATTAAATCTGGAGTATCTGAGAGAGTTAGAGCAAAGGAAGGGTAGCAGTAATGTTAAATGATCAGTTATGGAAGGAGAAAAGAGAATATGAATGTGTAAATTCAAGAATATATGTGGATTAAAGTAAAGGTTTGGATGCGAGAAGTGGGTCATAATAAGCGTGTATGCACCTGGAGAAGAGAGGAATGCAGAGGAGAGAGAGAGATTTTGGGAGATGTTAAGTGAATGTATAGGAGCCTTTGAACCAAGTGAGAGAGTAATTGTGGTAGGGGACTTGAATGCTAAAGTAGGAGAAACTTTTAGAAGAGGGTGTGGTAGGTAAGTTTGGGGTCCCAGGTGTAAATGATAATGGGAGCCCTTTGATTGAACTTTGTATAGAAAGGGGTTTAGTTATAGGTAATACATATTTTAAGAAAAAGAGGATAAATAAGTATACACGATATGATGTAGGGCGAAATGACAGTAGTTT